ATTACTTCAAGTTTAATTTGTAACCTTGGTTCTCTTTTTCTAAATGAGTTTCATGGATTTCATTTGTACATTTTCTTATTTTCTCTCGCAGAAAAGTTCTCTCGCTCTCTTGCAGAAATCTTTCACGTATTGGGAGTGAGACTTGGCCGGAGCTTCTGCAGGCAAACCAAAAGCTAGATCTACCGGCAAGCGGGGCAGTCGCCCAACACAAGCTCATAAGGAGCATGCATACCCAGTGGTATCGTTGTGGGTACAATTGTATGCGTATACTAAGGCTTCACAAACTCCTTCCACCACAACTTTTTCTCGCTCTCTAACGTTCCCAACATTTGGAAAATTGTACGGTTAAAGTCCCCGTGAACCGGAAGTTGCAAACGATTTTTCTCCAGTGCTGTGACGTATTTCCAAGTGAAACGGAATATTGAACAGAGGGCAGGGTTTTACTCTAGCGCTCCTCCTCTCCATCTCTCGCTCATAGCAAACTAACGGTTTGAGGGGAGTGGTTAAGCGTTTCCCCACCCAAGCTGTGAAACCTACGTCATCAGAAAAAGAAACCGTTCCAGACCGGAAGTAACTTTTCAGATTTTGATTAAAGATTACCAAGGTAAAACATTTTTTTAATATATTTTTACTTGCACGGATTAATTTTTCACCACAAGACTAGTAATATGCGCTAACAAAGTAAATAGGTTCAATTTTGATTTCACAGGGACTATGTTCTACCGGGTTACCTTAATTTTCCTTAATACAATTCCTTAATTGTGTAGGATTTGAAATCGTGCCCTTGGTCACTATGCAGCTTCTCTGGAAACCCACAGTGTACCGAGACATTTCCCCACAGACATTTTGTGACTGTACGAGCTGTTTGGTTCTGGGTCGGAAATGCCCTAGTTTATTTCATGAAATGGTTGGTGATAACCAGTGGTGGAGGAAGTACTGAATCTCAGTACTTAAGTAAAAGTACAAATACCCAGATAAATATTTACTTTAGTAAAAGTAGAAGTAACACAATGACAACCATACTTAAGTAAAAAGTAAAAAGTACTTTATTTTAAATGTACTTTAAGTATTAAAAGTAAAAGTACTTGCATAACAATTTATTATCTTAATGTCTATTTTCTAATGATTAATAAAACATTTAATTCTAACTCATTCAACCTAATAGCCTACAATGATGTTCAATAATGATGGAAAAAAAATGTCACCATTTCTGAAACAAGCTTGCAATTAGGCAATATCATGCTTATCCTTACTATATGTTTAATAACTATGTTTGGCAGTACACGCGATTCATTTATGGTGTAATTCTGAACCTCTTGGCTTGCCATAATCCTAACCAAACGTATATTACTCACGGTGTGTTTCCTATGCATGTAAAAACTAATTTTCGCGTATGAGTTGCATGATAAACACACTGCGTGCAAGACGCATTTAGTGACCGGGTTGATATACTGTATCTATGGCAACCAAACGTCACTGGTGAGACAAACGTGCAACGAACTGACGGTCAGATTACGTTTTGTCAGGGGAAAAACTGATCAGAAAATGTAACGAAAATGTAACAGAAGTTGTAGAAATGTAGTGGAGTAGAAAGTAGAATAATTGCTGCAAAATGTAACGAAGTAAAAGTAAAAAGTAGGCACTATTTATTGTACTTAAGTAAAGTAAAGATACGTGAAAAATGTACTTAAGTAAAGTAACGAAGTATTTGTACTTCGTTACATTCCACCACTGGTGATAACCAGTATGTTTTTAGTATTGATGTGGTCTGGTTCTTACAACAAAAAGTCCATGCAGACCAACTCCAAGCCTACTGGTTTGAATGTTGACCAGAGGAGCTGCTCTGTAAGGAGGCCTCTATCTGCGCATGCAGCTTTACATGTCTTGATCTTTCCCTCAACTGCCTGGGACATCCTGGGCCAGAAGAACCTAGACCTCACCAAGTCTAGGGTTCTCTCAATACCCAAGTGCCTCATGTCATCGTGGAGAGTAAGCAACACCTTTTCCCTTAGCCAAGCTGGTAACTCAGCTCAACTCAGCTCAAGTCGACTCCACTCCCTCAGCCACAATACTATGTCAGGTGGCTGGCTCCTCAGGGTACCTGGCCTAGTCCCACTCCTCATCCACTCAATTATTACTTCAAGCTCTGCATCTTTCCCTTGCCATTCTGCTAATGTGGTCTCTGAGAGATTGGGGAAATCAGGTAGACCATGCTCTGCCTCGTATTGCAACTCATTCGGCTGCAAGGCATCAACACAATGAATGTGGGACTCGACCAATGTAATGGGATTGGGAGAGTGTGCCAAACCAGGGACTTCAGGCAAACCAATCACCTGATGCCTCTCACAAATGGCTTTCACTACATCCACCATGAGAACATCAGACCCGTTTCCAAGATCTGCAAGGTGGTGAAGTGTAAACTGCTTAATCCTTTCTCTTTCTTTTCAGAGATTAGATCACCCAAGGGCTCACCATGCGGATGCCGGGAAAGACCATCTGTGCCCTGATTCTGACTCCCAGCCCTATATTGGAGCTTAAAGGTGTAGGTCGACAAGCTAGACAACCAGCAGTAGCTGGTGGCATCAAGTATCGTGGAGGTCAACACGTACGTTAGGGGATTACAACAGTGAAGTCTGCACCATAAAAATAATCATTGAACTTGGCTGTGACAGCCCACTTTAATGCCAAAATTTCAAGCTTATGTGCTGGGTATTTTGCCTCACTCTTTGTCAGCCCCCTACTGGTGAACGCTATCACTCGCATCTGCTCGTCCTGCTCCTAGTAAAGTGCCACGCCAAGCCCCGTAGTACTGGCATCAGTGTGAAGCATATACGGGAGCTTGGGGTCAACAAATCCCAGGACAGGAGCAGAGGTCAGCTTAGAAATGATAACATCAAAGGCATCCTGACATGTAGTCCTGGTCTTTGGTGTTACTTTGGTGTAAGTACTCACCCCCCTCTCCTTTTCCACTGCAGCCCCTACGAAGTGGAAGGTACCCTTCAGTGAGTCCCGTGAGAGGTTTGACTATCTTCGAGTAGGGCTGTCGCGATAACCGCAATATTGTAGTACCGCTATTGACATATCAACCGTAGATGATTGCAAGTAACCGCAGCAACCGCTATATTTACGTTTTTTTAGAAGGCTATTACCCTTCTTGTTTTTAACTTCATGCAGTAATGGGGTTGATGGCAGTTCAAGAGTTACTTACTTCTCCATACAAGGTTCTCAAAGCTGAATCATTCAGGACTGTGTTCCCAGAAGGCACAACCTCAAGGATACTCCCCATCAATTTAACATGCTAGCTTGCCTCCATCTTGCTTCAAGGACTTTAAGCACTGCCTGATACCCGTGGAGATTCGAACAAGGTTTATCCTGCTCTCTTTAATGCAGTGGCTATAAAGCACATCCAGGTAGGTACCTACCAGAACTTGCAACAGATTTTTTAGATCCGGTACTACCAAACTCAGAAGTTTGATCATCAATTATCAATTACGTTTAACTGAGCCATACTTTTGCAAGAAGGTACTCAGCTCATCATACAGTAGCCTACTGGTGAAAAGTCTGGACCAATTACTATTTTTAATGTTTTTGAAAGAAGTTTCTTATTATGCTCTAACCTGCATTTATTTGATCTACAGAAAAAAAACAGGAATATTCAGCAAGGATGTGTTAAATATGTAAAAAGTGATAGTGAAGACTTTTTTAAAACAAATTTTTAATAATCAAAATATCCAGAAAAAAGCATCACGGGTTATAAAATAAATATTAAGCACCATTTCTAACATTTGATAATAAATCAGAATATTATAAAGTCGTCTGAAGCATCACATGACACTAACTTCAGCTTTGCATCAAATATATTTTAAAGTATGATAAAATAGGAAAACCATTATTTTAATTTTTAATTATATTTCACTGTATATAATTTTTGATCAAATAAATCCAGGCTTGATGAGCATAAGATACTTCTTTAAAAAATAGTACTATTAAAAGTACAATTAAGATACTATTAAAAATAGTAATGTGTCCAAACTTATGTGGCTACTGTGTAAGTAAAAATATACAACATTTAAAATTAAATGTTGTATAAATTAAAAGGTTGGGAATCATAGTTTGTTTCAAGAGTTTTATTGGGGGGGGGGGGGGGGGGCTCCAACATTAATATTGCCTGGGGCCTCCAAATGTCTAGAACCGGCTTTGATACACACAAAGGTATTTTATGAGCTTGCAATATCAACGAGTATTGATTAGCTCACTTTATGTTACCCACCATCAGTTCAAAATGTTTTTTTTTCTTTCTTTTTTTTTCTCAATGATTTTAGACATTAATGGTTACTGTTAAAAATGATGTTTAAAGTTACACTATCTATTAGTCCTGAGCATGATTTGCAGTACTGTATTAAAGTGATACTGATAGAATGCTGTGAATAGAAGTTGCTAAGCATCCTAAACATAAGTGTAGCTGGTGAATATTTGTCTTTACATTTCATTTTGATAAACAGTGTAAAATATAAGCACATGGTAGGTGAACATGCATTTGGTATTTCGAGGTTTATTTTATATAGATTTTGTATTGACATGGACACTGAATAGGCTATGTAATAGCTGTGTGAAACATGAATTGACTTTAACAATATAGATGAGTTTTCAGAAGAAAATTCTTATATAAATTAATGCAGAGCTCGAACCTGACACAGTCTCAATTTTCTCTCTTGTGTAGGAGTCAATCTGTTCACCGTGCCGTTGCCACGGTACTAGACCCGTAACACATTTTTGATCCATTATGAGATGGATGAACACATGTTTGAAAAATGTAGTGCTAATGCTAGTGCTAAAAATGATGGATGAACACATTTTTGATCCATCTCATAATTAGGTGTCACTTTTAATTTGTTTTAGTTGTGTTCGAGGCCTGTTTACTCTGTTTCTAGTCTTGCACATGGAGTCGGGCTGAAGGGCGGGGCCCGATGGAGCTAACAGACGTGAAGTCTGGATCTGTACACTTCCTTTCTCTGGATGTCAGACAGTCTGAAAAACTCAATCTTGGGTCAAACTCGATATACTTTACTTTAAATGCGCTCCAACGCGTAGTTCGGGGCTGGAAGTTTGGTGGTGGGAGCAATAGAGTAACGGGACGGGGTAGCACACTTGAGAAGCTTTCTGTAAAGAATCTAATGAACCGCGCACAAAGTTAGACATCTTTACGGATAAGAAAACCTGAAGATTTGAATGATGACAGAGAAAGTGTTGGTGATTGACGACGTCATAACAGGTGAGATAAATCGCATTTTAGAAAGTTTGAGCAGTCTATTCTATGACGCAACCCATTATCAAAGCCCACACTGATGTCATAGCACTATATCAGTATAGGCTGCGTTCACAAACCTTTATGACACACACCGCTTTTTAATGTCGTAGCCTATATAGGCTACTTATCTGCGATGTGCTAGCTTTATTTTATGGCGTAGGCCTCTATACATTGTATAAAACGTAGCCTACGTTAATTTAAAAAGGAAATAATGTAAAAATGGGCTACTACATTAAAACTGCTACTACAAAAAATAGGTTAACTTTTGGATAAGTAAGACCTAGCCTTAGTTGTATGATTTAATGACACATTTATTGTCGTCTCAGTATTTTATAATGTAGCCTACTGGCAAGCTGGCAGCTTTTACCGTAGGCTGAACATTTTCTATATTGTAGCCTATTCCTGGAAAGCACATTTAGCTTGTTGCACGCTGCAATCTGTATTGCATCGGAATGGGTGTATTCCACCTATTGCGCATTATTAAGCTTATATTTTGAGACATTTATTCCCTGCATGAATCTGTAGCCGCTATGGCATGTAATAATGTCTTCGCCGGGGAAAATCTGTTTGTGACTTTAAAAGCGCATTGTGGACTTGGGTGACTGAGATAGTAGCGGTGCAGAGTTGGGTCACGTGGTCTCACTCCTGGGAGCTTTGAGTCAATGCAGCAAAAGTCAGCACGCTCCACCATCATCATCATCACAGGTGAAGCCGGAACGAGGTAGGGCTCCTCAAGCATCGTCCCAAACTCACCAAAGAGCTTAAATATACTTTCATAATGCATAAAACGGTTCAGTACTGGTTTTGACACGGAATAATCGCAATGCAGAGAAATGTAGTAATGCGATCGTTTACATGCCACGGATCACATCAGCATTTTCTACAGTAGCGCGCGGATGTTTATTTTGCTTGCCTCAAGGTTTGGCATGTTTCTGGCGGTTTTGCGCATGGGAAGGTAAATTTGCGCATGTATTGCTTCTGTCCTTTAGGAAGGACGTCAGTTTGACTGCTGATGTGATGTAATATGATTCAGGATGGGCGCATCTCTGACACAGCAAGAAGAGCATCTGTAAGATAGAGCCTGAACCACCCTAGAGCCTGTTTGTGCACTAACGTTAGACAGCATTAGACGTCAGCATCAAGTTGATATTCGAAGACATCTTCACGACATTGCCGTCTTTTCGTACAAACTGTGAATGGATCTTTTGGGTAGATCGGTTGAACCGGTTCTGTCTGGATGAATCGTTTTTAAATCGGACTAATTGGGTCCGAGCGAATCAAACTCTTTAAACTGGGAACCGATTCGTTTTGAACCGAGAACTGATGAGTGTGAGTTGATGAACTTAAAAGTTATTTTTGATAGCTGCAGTTACAAAGAAATCTATTAAATGCATGTTTATGACTTGATTGTGTTAGTTTTATCAACACGCATTCTAAAGTTGTGTTTTAATAAATAGTTTATTAAAAAGTGCTAAATATTTTCAAACAAGAGATGTATACACATTGGTTCTACGTTTTTACGAGTGCAAATTACCAGCAATTTGTTTTCATACGTATTTATTGTATGTTTTAAGGGCACATATCGGAGACCACGTGATAACGCAGTTATGTCGTAGAGCTGAATAACTGAATCATTTTTGATAATTCTTGAAGAATCGATTAGCTTAAATGAGTCGTACTGTTAACGTTTGAGTTGAAGATGTGACACTGGCGTGCTAATTGCAACGTGCTGGGAAATTTGCATAGGAACATTCAACTTGAGGCCAAATGTTTTTGGACCATTTGCCTGTTGAAATGTGCAAAATAACTCCATAATGTCCACACCTACAGCCTTTGAGTGTTTGTGTGTAACAGTTTTAACCTTTGCGTCGGCAGCCTCTGGTCAGGGTGCCAATAGCAGAATAAAAAAAACCCACCCCCACCACATTCCCACGGTGCCACTTCGGGCTGGAGTATAAAGGAGTCATTGTTTGAGTAAAGGGGAAAAGGCCTCATAGGTAGCACATAGAGGTGGGTACAGAAGAGAAGAGTAGACTCAATAAATCGTTTATTAGATGGTTGTGTGTTGCTTGTTGGAAGCCTTATGTAAACAAACAAAGTCTTTCAGACTTTAGATACATTTCTTCATGCCTTCACTACTGGAATCCAATAGCCTATATGTTTATCTAAAGTTGACATTTTCACTAGTCTGCCTATAAATGGTCACTTAAAGGTATATTTGATCATCCATTTTGATGCCTTGCATCTGGGCTCTGAGCAGTACAAATATTAATATAATTTTATTTTAATGTAATTGAAGTTTGTTGCGTATAAACTATTAATAGAGATGATTGCATTTTATGTATTTGTTTAAGAAGTATGTGAATCTGTGTTTAATAAACCTTTATAATGAATCACCCAGGGTGCTTGACCATTAGTCACAAAACAGCATGCATTTGGAGTACACTGGGTGGACTGCAACGGTGAACATGGTTGCAGTGGACTGCCTGGTGCAGTTAAACAGCCTGATGCACGTGGCTGGGGCAGGACTGCTTAGTCAGCATGGATGAGATGGGGAGTATTCATTCCTGTCTGCAGCATCCGTGCATGCAAACACACACACACAAACTGTGACCAGCTAACCACAAATACACGTGTGTGGCTGTGGCAAATAAACATGAACAAACTAACACATGCATGGCCGGATCCCTATAACTCTGGGCTCAGCAGTATGATGTGACCAAGGGAGCAGTGATAATGTCCACTGTCAGGGTGTGGCCACAAGACGTGATGTGGATCCACATCTGTTTAAATAGCCACAGTCCAGACACATGGCTGAGGAGAGAATACGTAGTGATGGTATTGGTCTTTAGAAATGTATGAGCAAATAAATTATTTACATGCACAGACATGCAAACATATTTTTGCTGGATGTGTGTTTTAAATAACCAGTGCAATATTTTCTGCATTCATCATCTGCTCTGCGAGTCAGTTGCACGTCTTGTCCTTAGCTGGCAGGGGGTGTCTGGGCTGGGTGTGTGTTTGGAGAGGCAGGACGACACAGTGATGTAATTTAAAGCGGAGCCATTAGCGTCTCTGTTTGAGGTCAGCTCAATGCCTTTTAGCTTCACACACACACGTTCGCTTTGAGTGTCTCAATTTGATGAGTGCTGTCTGTGGTCAGCATCTGTGTAGGTCAAACTCTCTCTCCCTCTCACTCATTCCTTTCTCCTTTAATTCAATCAGTGCTAGAATAAGGTTTTGATCTCCAAAATGTTTATTATATCCCTCATGGTTTAGACTTGGAATTTTATATGAAAACTTTAAATGTTATTTACACCTTAAAGGGATAGTTCACTTTGAAATTAATTTTTGATATAGTTTTAGCTTACCTCAAGGGCATCCAAGATGTAGGTGTCTTTGTTTCCACATCATTTTCAATTTTGACATTTTTTGGTCAAACCGTTGTTGTCTGTCAGTCATATAATGCAGGTCTATGGAGCCCACCTCAAAGAGCATACACAGAGAAGTCAAAATTAAACATGATTTAATGACTTGTAAATGTAAGTACACATTGATGGCCGAAGACACGAAACGAGCGGTTTGTGTGAGAAAACGAACAGTATTATATAGCTTTTACCTCTTGTTAACGGCCGTCGAACTGATCTGAATCAGATGCCCAACTGAACCGAACTGAACCGTCTCCAACGTGATGCCGGAAGTGATCGCGTGCGTATGTACATCACGCATTGTTTACACAGAGATTTCGGAAGTTTTACCTTTCACTAAACATATTTAGATATATCGAAATCGTCTTCCATTGCGATTTCCCGTATTATCTAAATATGTTTAGTGAAAGGTAAAACTTCCGAAATCTCAGTCAAAATCAAAAATGTCAAAATTGAAAATGCTGTGGAAACAAAGACTCCTACATCTTGAGGTAAGCTAAAACATATCAAACATTAATTTCAAAAAAGAAAACTATCCCTTTAATGCCAAACTGAAAGTCTGTTTTACAAATCTCTAGCTTTGGATGCAATTCATTTGAGCTAAAATACAAATCTTATTGACTATATCCATAGATTTTTGAGGCATAAAAACTTGAAGATGGGATGGTGGGTTTTTTTTCTAATTGAAAAATGTGCTGTGAGTGATGTAGATATTTGAAAACCTGCTACAACACTAACAAAAAGCCCAAAAATTCCATTCTGGCATTACGTCATGGTATAGGTATTAGCTGCGGTTGCCTCGGTTCTCAAAGAGAAGGAGAGAGAAGTTTTAAAAAGGGGGAGCAGGGGCGTCTTTTGTGTTAACAGACCATTTACGTGATCATGAGAATGTTACACTTTTTGGATGTTCCATTAAAACTCAGTCTTCACAACTGAAAATAAATCACTTTTAGCACCCTTTTATACACAAAGTCATGCTTTTATTTACAATACTCGTCTGCCAAGAGACAGTCATTCAGGCCAAGAAAACTCCACCCAGCACATACTGTATGTTCTCTGCTGTACATCTGTGATATCTGTGACTGTCAGCTCAGTAAATCATGTGCATCTAGGCAGTTTCACAAATTAACTTGGCCGTGTACCTGAACCATATTTGAGGCTGTATAGACACCTTTTCAGTTGGTAAACATGGTGACGTTTTTATGTGGGCGGAGCTTAGGTGGAGGCAGAACGATCCCTTTGGCCGCTTCACTAATGCTAGTTAGCAAGTTTTATTAGCTTGTTTTTTAACAATGACTGGAGAAAATCAGATTTTATCTTAATGTGTAAGGTCACTCACTGTCCAGGACAACGAATGTTATTTTCAAAAGTTAATTTTAATGGACAGAACCAGATTGGCCGACCCGTAGCCTTCACACGCTCACTCATTGCATGGACGATCTGACAGGATTGACGTTACGTTACCTCGGTTGAGTGGCCTGATTTCTACACCTACCTTATAGAGAAACCGATCGTAAAGAGAAACTGAGGGCGTAT